CTCTAACACACTCACACACACACACACACACACACACACACACACACTCACACTCATGCACACACACACGCACGCACGCACGCACACACACACACACACACTCACTCACGCGCGCACACACACACACTCACGCGCACACACACACACTCATGCACACGCACTCACACACACACACACACACGCACACACACTCTTACGCACACACACACTCTCACACACACACGCGCACACTCGCACACACACGCTCACACACACATGCTCACACACGCTCACACACACACGCACACACACTCTTACGCACACACACACTCTCACACACACACGCGCACACTCGCACACACACGCTCACACACACTCACTCACTCACTCACTCATGCACGCACGCACGCACGCACACACACACACACACGCACACACACTCTTACGCACACACACACTCTTACACACACATGCGCACACTCGCACACACACGCTCACACACACTCACTCACTCACTCACTCATGCACGCACGCACGCACGCACGCACACACACACTCACGCACACACTGACTCACTCATGCACACACACACTCACTCACTCACGCTCACACTCTCACACACAGACACACTCACACTCGCGCACACACACACACACACACACACACTCACACACTCACGCACACACACACTCTCACACACACACGCGCACACTCGCACACACACGCTCACACACACTCACTCACTCACTCACTCATGCACGCACGCACGCACGCACGCACACACACACTCACGCACACACTGACTCACTCATGCACACACACTCACTCACTCACGCACACACTCTCACACACAGACACACTCACACTCGCGCACACACACACACACACTCACACACTCACGCACACACACACTCTCACACAAGCACACACTCACACGCACACACACACACACTCTTACGCACACACACACTCTTACACACACATGCGCACACTCGCACACACACGCACACACGCACGCACGCACACACACACACTCACTCATGCACACACACTAACTCACTCACGCACACACTCTCACACACTCACACACAGACACACTCACACTCGCGCACACACACACACACACTCTCACACACACGCACTCACACACTCACGCACACACACACTCTCACACACACACGCGCACACTCGCACACACACGCACGCACGCACGCACGCACGCACACACACACACTCACTCATGCACACACACTAACTCACTCACGCACACACTCTCACACACAGACACACTCACACTCGCGCACACACACACACACTCTCACACACACGCACTCACACACTCACGCACACACACACTCTCACACAAGCACACACTCACACGCACACACACACGCTCTCGGCAGATGTTGAAGACACACAGAGAGTGTGTCTGGTTATTTTATGGCTGTTCATAATAATTACACTGAGGTAATAAACAGGAACTAGATTTGAGACTGACATTCCTTACGTATTTGCTGTTGTTTTTTTCAATCTGAGGGACAGTCTTACATTTTTTTTAATGAAAAATAAAAAGTTTTTTATAGTCCGAGACTCTGATTGTTCATAAATGAGCTGCTCGACTTCTTTGTTTCGCGTCGGATGCTTCATTCACACGTCTGTCTCTCCAGAGGATCTGCTCCGGCACGTCCCGCGTCTTATCCGTCTCGCTCTCTCAACACCTGTGACTCATTCTTCCTTCACTTCACAAAAGCACAGACTTCCCATCATGCCTCTGGGCACCGCTCAACACAACAGTTCAATGCCTTGGTTTTTTTGAAAGGTGTTTGTTTTTCACCGTGGGCTCTTCTTAAACGAGAACGAGTTCTGCCTTGAGCTGAAGATGAGAAACAGAAACATTGAAAATAATGTGTGTTTTATGGTACATACACACACAGACACATTTATAAAAAAAAAATATATACATATGTTGCATGGCTATATTTACTAATTGTATAATTAATAAAAAATATAAAATGTAATTAATAATAAAGTAATAAAAATATGGTACGTCTTCATGTTTTTTCTACATTAATTTGGAGATTTGATGTGAAAATATGTCTATTTACAAATTATTGTTAGGTAAGATTTATAATGTACAAATGTATCTGTTCTTGACTAATGAAGCATCTTCAGGGAGTTTAAGCTCATTTTAGACTAGTTTGTTTTTTAAACTAGTTTGCTTTTGTTTAATTTAAGTCCTTTTAGACTAGTTTAGCCTTTTAAATACTAGTTTAAGCTCTTTTAGACTAGTGCTCCTTTATGCTCCTGTAGACTAATTTAAGCCAATTAGTTTAAACTTTATGACTAGATTATGCTCCGTACTAGTTTATGGTCATTTAGACTAGTTTAAGCTCATTGTCATTATATCAACATACATTAATATATATTCATATACACTTTCGCTAGAAAGAGTTATTTATGATGATTTTCATCATGTTTATGTGCACAGATGTTTTATTTCATCACTTGATTAATGAAGTGTCTTCGGTGAGCGTTTCCGATCACACGTATGTGGCGTGTCGTCACTTGTCCTCTCTTATGATGTCAGTGCCGTGTTTGTTGAGTTACGCTCAGTTTCATCCCGAATAAACCCAAACCGAGTGTGTGTGACTGTCTGAAGGTTTAGACCTGCGATTCCAGGCTCGCGTCCGACACACAAAGGCGGCTCTGTGCCCTCCGTGTTTCTAACACAAGCAGCTCCTGCACTGCAATTTAGGAGGCGTGCAGCTCTGGAAATTGCTGGGCTCGTCAGCGGTGCTTTCACTGAGGGAATGGGCTTCATCATCCTCGTAATTGGCAGGGTTTTTTTTTGTTTAAATACCTTGTTAGTAATTACCTTTATAAACCAAATAACACACTTCTGAACCCAACGGCTGTTTTGAGCTGTCAGAGACATCAGAGAGCCGGAATCTGCTTTCTGAAATGCCTCCGCTTGTGTTTTCAGAGCATACAACAGGATCTCGAGGATCTCGGCAGAGCGGCTCAGTTCGCTGGTCGCCCTGGAGATGCTGGACCTTAGCAACAACAATATTATGGAGGTTCGCGCCTGGGCTTTTCCTCCTCTTCCTCTGAAAAACCTGTGAGTCCTTCTTCTGTTCTCAACTGACCTGCTTTCCAGAAACTGCCAGGAGTCTCACATCAGCTCACTGTGTCACTCCTCAGTGCTAACCGTCACCTTTCAGACTAGTTCAAGCTCCTTTAGACTAGTTTATGCTCCGTTAGACTAGTTTATGCTCCTTTAGACTAGTTTATGCTCCGTTAGACTAGTTCAAGCTCTTTTAGACTAGTTCAAGCTCTTTCAGACTAGTTCAAGCTCTTTCAGACTAGTTCAAGCTCCTTTAGATAGTTTCAAGCTCTTTCAGACTAGTTCAAGCTCTTTCAGACTAGTTCAAGCTCCTTTAGACTAGTTCAAGGTCTTTTAGACTAGTTCAAGCTCTTTCAGACTAGTTCAAGCTCCTTTAGACTAGTACTAGTTCAAGGTCTTTCAGACTAGTTCAAGCTCCTTTAGATAGTTCAAGCTCCTTTAGACTAGTTCAAGCTCCTTTAGACTAGTTCAAGCTTCTTTAGACTAGTTTATGCTCCGTTAGACTAGTTTATGCTCCTTTAGACTAGTTCAAGCTCTTTCAGACTAGTTCAAGCTCCTTTAGACTAGTTTAAGCTCTTTTAAACTAGTTCAAGCTCCTTTAGACTAGTTCAAGGTCTTTTAGACTAGTTCAAGCTCTTTCAGACAAGTTCAAGCTCTTTCAGACAAGTTCAAGCTCTTTCAGACAAGTTCAAGCTCTTTCAGACTAGTTTAAGCTCTTTTAAACTAGTTCAAGCTCTTTCAGACTAGTTCAAGCTCTTTCAGACTAGTTTAAGCTCTTTTAGACAAGTATATGCTCCGTTAGACTAGTTTAAGCTCTTTTAGACTAGTTCAAGCTCTTTCAGACTAGTTTAAGCTCTTTCAGACAAGTTTAAGCTCTTTCAGACAAGTTTAAGCTCCGTTAGACTAGTTTAAGCTCTTTTTAGACAACTTTATGCTCCTTTAGACTAGTTTAAGCTCTTTTAGACTAGTTCAAGCTCTTTCAGACAAGTTTAAGCTCTTTCAGACATCTTTCAGACAAGTTCAAGCTCTTTCAGACAAGTTCAAGCTCTTTCAGACAAGTTCAAGCTCTTTCAGACAAGTTCAAGCTCTTTCAGACAAGTTCAAGCTCTTTCAGACAAGTTCAAGCTCTTTCAGACTAGTTTAAGCTCTTTTAAACTAGTTCAAGCTCTTTCAGACTAGTTCAAGCTCTTTCAGACTAGTTTAAGCTCTTTTAGACAAGTATATGCTCCGTTAGACTAGTTTAAGCTCTTTTAGACTAGTTCAAGCTCTTTCAGACAAGTTTAAGCTCTTTCAGACAAGTTTAAGCTCTTTCAGACAAGTTTAAGCTCTTTCAGACAAGTTTAAGCTCTTTCAGACAAGTTTAAGCTCTTTCAGACAAGTTTAAGCTCTTTCAGACAAGTTTAAGCTCTTTCAGACAAGTTTAAGCTCTTTCAGACAAGTTTAAGCTCTTTCAGACAAGTTTAAGCTCTTTTTAGACAACTTTATGCTCCTTTAGACTAGTTTAAGCTCTTTTAGACAAGTTTAAGCTCTTTCAGACTAGTTTATGCTCCGTTAGACTAGTTTAAGCTCTTTTTAAACAACTTTATGCTCCTTTAGACTAGTTTAAGCTCTTTTAAACTAGTTCAAGCTCCTTCAGACTAGTTCAAGCTCTTTTAGACTAGTTCAAGCTCTTTCAGACTAGTTCAAGCTCTTTCAGACTAGTTCAAGCTCCTTTAGACTAGTTCAAGCTCTTTTAGACTAGTTTAAGCTCCTTTAGACTAGTATATGCTCCGTTAGACTAGTTCAAGCTCCTTTAGACTAGTTTATGCTCCGTTAGACTAGTTTAAGCTCTTTTTAGACAACTTTATGCTCTTTTAGACTAGTTTAAGCTCTTTTAGACTAGTTTATGCTCCGTTAGACTAGTTTAAGCTCTTTTTAGACAAGTTTAAGCTCTTTTAGACAAGTTTAAGCTCTTTTAGACAAGTTTAAGCTCTTTTAGACAAGTTTAAGCTCTTTTAGACAAGTTTAAGCTCTTTTAGACAAGTTTAAGCTCTTTTAGACAAGTTTAAGCTCTTTTAGACAAGTTTAAGCTCTTTTAGACAAGTTTAAGCTCTTTTAGACAAGTTTAAGCTCTTTTAGACAAGTTTAAGCTCTTTTAGACAAGTTTAAGCTCTTTTAGACAAGTTTAAGCTCTTTTAGACAAGTTTAAGCTCTTTTAGACAAGTTTAAGCTCTTTTAGACAAGTTTAAGCTCTTTTAGACAAGTTTAAGCTCTTTTAGACAAGTTTAAGCTCTTTTAGACAAGTTTAAGCTCTTTTAGACAAGTTTAAGCTCTTTTAGACAAGTTTAAGCTCTTTCAGACTAGTTTATGCTCCGCTAGACTAGTTAAGCTCTTTTTAGACAAGTTTAAGCTCTTTTAGACAAGTTTAAGCTCTTTTAGACAAGTTTAAGCTCTGTTAGACAAGTTTAAGCTCTTTCAGACTAGTTTATGCTCCGCTAGACTAGTTTAAGCTCTTTTAGACAAGTTTAAGCTCTTTCAGACTAGTTTATGCTCCGTTAGACTAGTTTAAGCTCTTTTTAGACAACTTTAAGCTCTTTTAGACAAGTTTAAGCTCTTTTAGACAAGTTTAAGCTCTTTCAGACTAGTTTATGCTCCGCTAGACTAGTTTAAGCTCTTTTAGACAAGTTTAAGCTCTTTCAGACTAGTTTATGCTCCGTTAGACTAGTTTAAGCTCTTTTTAGACAACTTTATGCTCTTTTAGACTAGTTTAAGCTCTTTTAGACTAGTTTATGCTCCGTTAGACTAGTTTAAGCTCTTTTTAGACAACGTTATGCTCCTTTAGACTAGTTTTAGGTCATTGAGACTATAGCTTGTGCTCCGTTAGACTAGTTTAAACACAGCGGTGTTTCCTTACTGAATGAATCCTCGTTTTTGAACGAATCGAGTGAGTCAACGATTCAGTAACCCATTCATAAAGAATGAATCAGCCATTTGAACAAATCTGTTGAATGAATGACTAAATGACTCACTCATTAAAACAATCTTTGCCGCCAACTATTGGTGGTTTGGTTTCGTATTTATAAGTATCATTGCATTTTTCCCTTAATTTCTTAATTGTATGTTAAAAAAATTATTTAAAACATTAATCTTATTTATGCCTTTGCAATTATGTGGCGTGAATGCATTTATGGCACCTCTCCGCTTCATCAAACAATCTGTGTAAATATATCTAATGCCTCTTCAGATGCAGCTTCTGTGTTTCCTGCAGTGGAAAGTTGTTGATACTGATTTAATTTAAATGGTAACAACTCTACAGTTTCTAACTGAATTAATTGAAACAATGTAAGAATTTGATGTGAAAGATGTCACATTTAATCAGGTTAGGGGAAATAAATGACTATTTATAAACATAGTGGAAAATGACATCTGTTTTGTTACATACCGCAGCTCATTTCTTACTCTTTCCAGTCACAGAGCACTTTATTTTGAGAGTTAAGTGAGAGAACTTTGTCCAGATTGGGGGAATTGTAATGTTTAATAATCGTGTGTTTCTGCAGGTTGATGAATAATAACCGTATTTCCACGCTGGAGCACGGCTGCTTCAGTAATCTGTCCAGCTCGCTGCTGGTGTTAAAGCTCAACAAAAACCGTCTGAGCTCCATCCCACCCAAGATCTTTCCTCTACCGCACCTGCAGCACCTGTAAGTGACGCGCTCACATCCGTCTCACGCCACGGCGTGCCTGTTCCTGACCGCTGTGCTTGTGATTGACAGAGAGCTGAGCAGGAACCGCGTGAGGCGCATCGAGGGTCTGGCGTTTCACGGGCTTCACGGCCTGCACTCGCTGAAGATCCAGAGGAACGGCATCACGCGGCTCATGGACGGCGCTTTCTGGGGTCTGAACAACATGGAAGTCCTGTGAGTGGAGCGGACATGCATGACGTTTAATCGTTCGTGCTTAATCATGTTAATTTCGTTGACAAATAATTTTCGTCAGCAACTATTTTTTTCACTTACGACGACGAGACGATAACGAACTAAAACTCTTTTTGAATGACAAAAACTATGATGATTTTCGTCAACGAATAAAAACGAGATGAAAATGTTAGGGACGGACGATTTGGGAAGAGATTCATTCAGAAGGAATCTGCTGCGTGGTTCGGAGGTTAGATGCGTACATATGAACCGGCGGGACATAAGCTAACATACACTTGCTGCACGTCGCATAAAACGTTCAGAAATGTCAATATGTGGGAGTAAGAGAAGAGCAGACACATGGATAAAACTGACGACGCAAGAGAACTCAATTCGGTCTGGTTTTCTGAGCGCAGACACTGAAGCATAACGTTACACACACAGAAAGCGCCTCTCACAGCGCGCGAGTAACGTTACTCTCTCGCGTCGCATGAACGGAGAATTACACACAAAATAATGTCGAATTGTCTGTTTTGACGAGTATTCACGTAAACACAGTTGATTAGGTCTTAAGTGAAGGTAAACAGCAGGAAGAGCGTGTATCAGTACATTGCACCTGTGCATTCGGTTTTAAAGGGACAGCAGCCTAATTTAGTTGCTCTCGAGTCATTGATGTTAATCAAGCAACAACAGAAAGACCGAAAACCACGCACTGCTCTTGCCTGAAAAACTTTAGTAGCCCTAAAGATTAATCTAAATTTATTTATAGAAATATGTCGGCTTGAAAGAATGAAGAATATGGTAAACAAGTTGCTATAAAGAATGCATAATTAGCCGATATAACCATTGGTATTTCATTAAAAAGAAGACCATGTTCTTGTTCTTTGAGAAGCGGTTTTATTTAATTTTAACATGAAGGCATGTTGTGTGTCACCGCAGTTAAATCATGATAAAACCTTAATATCAAACCTATGTAATGAGTTTGGAAATTTTAGAGAAATGCTTAATAAATGCACTGCAACTAAACCCATTAGATTTTAGCCGACTAAATTTACTGTAGATTTAGTCGACTAAAACTAGACGACTAAAATATGACAAACTAAATGGCATTTTAGTCAAAAGACTATGACTAAAACTAAATCAAAATTTGCTGTCAAAATTAACACTGGTGATTTGTGTTTGTGCGTGTGCGTGTGTGCGCTTGTGCGTGTGTGTGTGTGCGTGTGTGTTTCTGCACGTGCGTGCGTGTGTGCGCGTGCGTGTGTGCGCGTGTGTGTGCGTGTGTGTGCGCGTGTGTGTGCGTGTGTTTGTGTGTGTGTGTGTGTTTGCGTGTGCGCGCGTGTGTGTGTGCGTGTGTGTGTGCATGCATGTGTGCGTGCGTGTGCGTGTTTGTGTGTGCGTGTGTGTTTGTGCGTGTGTGTGTGTCTGTGCGTGTGTGTGTGTGTGTGTGTGTGTTTATGAGCAGGCAGCTGGAGTACAATAACCTGACGGAGGTGAGTAAAGGCTGGCTCTACGGCCTCCTGACGCTGCAGCAGCTGCATCTGTCACACAACGCCATCAGCCGCATCAAACCCGACGCCTGGGAGTTCTGCCAGAAACTCGCCGAGCTGTGAGTCTACAGATGCTGTCTTCCTCACCGCTCTGTCCAATCTAGGGCCCTATGATTCCGTGATGCAGAAAACACGGGACGGAATCCAGTCATGAAAACGGAATTTACTGTATAACGCGGAATGTCACAGAATTTGCCAAATTTTAGACCAATAAATCAAAAGTAGGTCAGTTCACTTAAGACAAAATGCGACATGGATCTGTGAATATGAATCCTGCATGTTCTGTGTGCCTCTGGTTTCATTTACTACACGCATAGTGAGGCGCGGCCGATGCTCGTGATGTTTTCAGCCTCAATATATGAGTTCATAAACACATCAACATAATCTCTAAAACTGCTCTGAGAGTCACTTCATGAGCATTTCATGTGTTTCATTTGAGAAAAACTAGATCAGAAACTAAAAGGTCTTCACAGCAACCCGTCAAAATAAGAGTTTGTTTTAACTTAAAGAAACTGTGACAAATATATTACTTAATGTAATGATAGTAGTACTACTACTACTACTAATACAATTATTATTTAAATTAATGTTTTATGCCTTCTAGAAAATTTACCTGAAAAATGTAAATGCACAACACATTATTTAAAAAATAAAATAAAATAATAAATTTTTTAGCCTTTGATAAAAATAAGTATTTTTTAAAAATAAAATCAGTTAATTACAGGTGCTTTTGATTATTCAAATTTAATTAAACTAGAAAAATGGAATCTTGAAAATTAAAATGATAACACAGAATTTGAGGGAAAAAAAAGGGTCCTAAAAATGTAATTTTTGTTAAAAAAAATTCTCATCTCTTTTTTTTTTTGTTCTGTTGGATAAGTGATATAAAGACTGAAGCTAGTAGATTTTTGAGAGGTCGAGCCCTGTTGACATTATGGCATTTTGTATGACTATTTTGTTTAAGTATTTTTAGACTACACTGTAAAAAAAATAAAATAAAAAGTTTCGAAATTGTAAATAAAGCAAAGATAATTGGAGTAAATTTTACAAGAACACTGCAGAAAATGATTTTCTTAGTATTTTTGTCTTGTTTTCTTAAATCAAGATACGTTTTCAATATCTGCCAGTGGGGTAAGAAAAATTATCTTTATTCAAAAGGAAATCATGCCCCATTAGCAGATATTTTTCTTGTTTTAAACAAAATTTGTAATAATATTTTCTGAAAACAAGACTTAATATCTTAAGTCAGTTCGCTTGTCAAGTACATTGATCATGATTCAAGAATGTTTAGATATTTTTACTAGAAAGCAAGTCAAAAATACGAAGTAAGAATTTTTTTTTTCCCATGAAAATATTATTTTTGACAGTCTTTCAATTACAAAATTGAGGCTAATGTTTAATTAAATGTGTTACTCTGCCATTTCTCTGTAATTATTTGTGAAATTTGCCAGCAGTTTCTGAGTGGAAATGGTTTAAAAATAAATCCTAATTTTTTTCGGTGGTTAACCTCTTTTGGACTAGTTTAAGCTCTTATGTAACTATTTAAACGTATATCTTAACATGTCGGTTTTTAAGAAAACCTTCAACATCACGATCAACCCAAACAGTTTTTAATAACAGATGCTGTCGGTTCAGGATTGATATAATGGATAAATAATGTGTTTTTGGGCATTTAATGAATGTGTGTTTATTGGAAGGAATCTTTATTTTCTTTTATTGTCTTTTTTTATTCTATTATTGTTATTAATTCATATGTATTCATTTAGCAAACATTTGTAAATGCACACTCAGAAAAAAGGTACAAAAGCTGTCACTGGAGCGGTACTTTTTTAAAAGGCACACCTTTGTACCTAAACAGTCCGTATTGGTACCTTAAAGCTACATACAAGTACCTAAACAGTCCGTATTGGTACCTTAAAGATACATACAAGTACCTAAACAGTCCGTATTGGTACCTTAAAGCTACATACAAGTACCTAAACAGTCCGTATTGGTACCTTAAAGATACATACAAGTACCTAAACAGTCCGTATTGGTACCTTAAAGCTACATACAAGTACCTAAACAGTCCGTATTGGTACCTTAAAGCTACATACAAGTACCTAAACAGTCCGTATTGGTACCTAAAAGGTACAAAAGTGTACCTTTTGAAAGTGACAGCTTTTGTACCTTTTTTTCTGAGAGTGTAAGTGATACACAAGTAAAGAACTGTGATTAGTCCTTCATTGACGTTTAAAGAGCATCTGGCTGCTGTTTTGTTGAATCCTTCGCTTAATATTTTCGTTGTCTGTCTGTCAGCGATCTGAGCTGGAACCAGTTGAGCCGTTTGGAGGAAGGTAGTTTCGTTGGTCTCAGCGTCCTCAAGCAGCTCCACATCGGAAACAACCGCATCAGTTTCATCGCTGACGGAGCGTTTCGAGGCCTCGCCAACCTGCAGGCTCTGTGAGTTCGTTATGACTTGAACGAGCTGTTTTTGCAGTTTCGTTTCGATAAATGTGTTTGTGTCTTTCTTTAATTTATCAGTGTTTATTACTAGAGGATTCTGAGTAGCAGATGATCCATAAAACTATTTTTTATAAATGTACACGCCATGAGTCACATGTTCGTCACTCGTTTGGCTCTGGCATTTGGATCAACGTGTTCGTTTGTTCATGTATGTGGCTCCGCCCACTTCACCGCTCCACTCTTAAACCGAACCCAATGGCAGAGTTCAGCGCAGCTTTACGACTCGTCTTTTCCGGGTGTGGATTTTAACAGTGTGGTTTCTCCCGATTTCTCGCCCTCTCCAGAGATGTGAGTTCGTTATGACTTGAACGAGCTGTTTTTGCAGTTTCGTTTCGATAAATGTGTTTGTGTCTTTCTTTAATTTATCAGTGTTTATTACTAGAGTATTCTGAGTAGCAGATGATCCATAAAACTATTTTTTATAAATGTACACGCCATGAGTCACATGTTCGTCACTCGTTTGGCTCTGGCATTTGGATCAACGTGTTTGTTTGTTCATGTATGTGGCTCCGCCCACTTCACCGCTCCACTCTTAAACCGAACCCAATGGCAGAGTTCAGCGCAGCTTTACGACTCGTCTTTTCCGGGTGTGGATTTTAACAGTGTGGTTTCTCCCGATTTCTCGCCCTCTCCAGAGACCTGAAGCATAATGAGATCTCATGGACCATCGAGGACATGAACGGCCCTTTCTCTGCTCTCGACAATCTGAGGAAACTGTGAGTGATCTGAGTTGCTTATTCATTGTTTGCGATATTATACAATTTTTAGAGCTGTCAATTTAGTGCATTTGACGTACAGACATGTATTATCTTACATTGATGAACAGGACGACAACTGACTGCGTGAATGCAGTTATATGAGCCTAAAATTCAAGATATGAGCGCAAAAATGACCCTCTTATATTTATATAATATGAAATAGTTTAGTAATATCACACCCGGCAAGAGTGCTGTTTTCCTCAATATCTGCACCACTGCTTACAACATGAACAAGAAGCTAATTTTGTGCTACGTTTTAGATGTAATGTCTGTTTTGCTCAATTTTGCATATTAAAATAGTTCAATTAAAGCCACAGCAGATCTCGAATCACATCAGCGGTGATTCGTTGAATCTGCGGGTTTGAATGAATCGAGCGAGTCAATGATTCAGTGACTTGTTCATTAAGACAGTCACTTGCTTAGTTTCTGAATGAATCAGCTATTTGAGCGAATCAGTTGAGTGAATGATTCAATGAATCATTTACTTGCTTCATTGGCTGTTTGAATGAATCGGTTGTATGAATGATTCAATGACTCACTCATTAAGACAGTGACTCGCCGTCACCTAGCACTTTTAGTTTCATAGAGTATAATTTCATTAAAAAGGAATCTAAATATTTCTCTCTAAAGCTATTTTTTTTTGTAATGTTTTTTTCATCTAACGCAATGACTTGAAAAGACCTTTAGGGAGGTGATTTCTTAGCCAAAATTGATGTGTGATTCATTTGCGATTAACACGTCATGAAATTTTAATCGCTTGACAGCCCTAGTAAATGCTCTAAATAGGTTCACTATCATTGCACTCTCCTGAAAGCATTAGTTTTTTCTGTTCCTCAAGGTTCCTCCAAGGCAATCGTATCCGATCGGTCACCAGGAAGTCCTTCACAGGCCTGGACCTGCTGGAGCAGCTGTGAGACTCTCTTTCAGATCTGAAACATGTGAGGATGATGCATGTTTGTTAGGTTCTTAAACGCCTGTTCTGTCCTCACATCGCAGGGACTTGAGCGACAACGCCATCATGTCGGTTCAAGCCAACGCTTTCTCTCAGATGAAGAAGCTGGCAGAGCTGTGAGTATGAATCTGTGCTCCTGCACTGAAGCCGCTCGTGAAGCTGCAGTGATTATTCACGTGTCTCTCGCTCCGTCAGGCACCTGAACACATCCAGCCTGCTCTGCGACTGCCAGCTCAAGTGGCTTTCTCCGTGGGTGGCCGAACACGCTTTCCTTCCTCTGGTGAACGCCAGCTGCGCCCATCCACATCTGCTGAAGGGCAGAAGCGTTTTCGCCGTCGCCCACGATGAGTTTGTGTGCGGTGAGTGTTCGTTTGAGAACGTATTCATGATTCCATTTCCTGAAACTGCACAGAAGCTGTTCCTTTCATATTTGCAATCAAAACGGTTGTGAATTTGACGAATAAAACTGTGTTTTTTTTAAATAAAGTAATACTTTTATTCTTTAAGGACGCATTAAACTGATGAAAAGTGACCGTAAAAACATTTGTAATGTTATAGATAGCATTTATTTGAAATAAGAACTGTTCTTTTGAACTTTCTGTTCATCCTGAAAAATAAATGCATCACGGTTTCCACAAAAATATTCATTACTACTTAAACAGTCAAAACTTTATATTTTTCAACTAAAACCGTATTGTATCTGAGCAGCAACTTCTCATTAATGAGTGAATGTGAAAAAAAATGCAAAGTTTTGAATGATACTGGATGTACCTCACTTTTATTGATTAAAAAATTTAGGGAAAAAAAATCTTTGAAATTAAAAATTTCACGTGAACTACACCAAAAAAAAAAAAAAATATTTTTTTTTCTTTTTTTTGTTGATGGGAAATTTTATTTGAATATATCATTGTATGAAATGTATTAGAACGTACCAGTATTAAACCCTTTGAAGAAAAAAAATGTAAGAATAAAATCTTTAACATTTTAAATTTCACATGAACTATACCATATATATATATTTTAAATTTTTATTTTAAATTTTTTTTATTTTATGTTGATGAGAAATTTTATTTGAATATATCAATTTATAAGAACGTACCAGTATTAAACCCAGTGGAATGAATGGAATTTAAATTCCTTTCAATTTATAACTCATAATTGCTCAAAAACAGTCAGAATTTATCAAACCTACATAGTTATTTCTAACGAAACAACATAAATATTTCTCTGAAAAGTTTTCAAACAAAATACATTTTTTACTTGCATGAACTTTCACTTACAGATGACAAAACGTGATACATTTTTCATGCTGCAGTGGTTCGGCATTAAGTGACATATTCATGTTCATCAACAAACTTGTGTGAGATATGGGGAAAAGGCTAAATATATTTACACAATTTTTTGACACCAATATAAACTCATTGATAGTTTTACAAAATAATTTTTGACACTAATGGGTCTCCATACATTCCCGGGTCCGAACATTTTAAATGGTTATACAGTATCGCTTACTTTCTCCCCCGCGGTAGTTACTGCATCATCCGAGAGAATCGCAGTAGCCGAAAACAGCTACCGTATAATGTTCTCAATAATATCAATAATATAGCTCGAGCTACAGCTGATCAGCCTTCTAGCTAGTTTAAAATGTTTTTTTTTCGACCGGACTTGATTGAAACATAAGTGACAAAACATAAAAATAATAATAACCAGCGAAGCATGGAAATGCGAGAATGATTCTTCAAATTTAAAAATGTAAACAGCGATTTATAATGGATAGTGTGTGTATTTCTGGTATCGAGGTCGCGCTGTTGAGGCGCTCACTCTGTTTGTCTTTTTGTGAGAGACTTCAAAACAAATGAGCGTGACGGCACACATAAAGAAACTCACTGAGGTATAAATTCTAAATGTTTAGTTTATTCATAACGTGATATAGTTAAGTACAAAACATGACAAGTGAGCTATTCTGCTGCAAACACCTACTTTCACGGCATGATTCAGTCTATTAAAATACATTCAGAATGATCAGAAATTCAATACATGGGGGCAGAAAGTTTTAAGTATTTATACAACTTCATATAGTTAATTTCACATGAAGAGTCCGTTTTTTTCTCTCCATAAAATTACCACGATTACAAGTGTGTTGTTGTTTTTTTTTTACAACAGTTCAGTGAGCTATTCTGCTGCAAACACCTACTTTCACGGCATGATTCAGTCTATTAAAATACATTCAGAATGATCAGAAATTCAATACATGGGGGCAGAAAGTTTAAGTATTTATACAACTTCATATAGTTAATTTCACATGAAGAGTCCGTTTTTTTCTCTCCATAAAATTACCACGATTACAAGTGTGTTGTTGATTTTTTTTTACAACAGTTCAATAAACTATAAGTTAATTAAGAGACTTACTGTATCGGCCCGAATATAAGACGACCCCCCTTTTCCAGATGTACCTTTTGGAAAAAGGCTTTTTAAAAACCAAATCTTGTTTTTTCTCAGTAAAACACATTTTGTCTTCAATTATTTCCATATTGCATATTTTTCCTATTTAAATTTTTGTTTTGAAAGTATGGTTAAAAACTGGTCAAATGTACCAACAATCACATTTAAAAAATATACACTTTTTGATATACCATAAAAAAAACATGAGTTAGGACATTTAGGCTATCCATCTAATAGTAGCCTACCAACATCTTATTAACAGTAGAAGTTAAATCTTACTGTAGTCTTCAAATCTGGGTACTGTCTTACGTTTTAAAATCACGAAGAGTTTGGTCCCATCAGTCACGACTCATGCAGCTGTAAGCTTTTACTCGCGATCTTTACAACACGCATTACGTATTTCACAGCACACTCGTTTTATGCATATTTGGCGCCACCTACTGTTGTGGGTGTATTATTGACATGTCAAAGTCTAGACCCTGAATATTAGACGACCGCGTTTTTTCAGATGTATTTCCAAGAAAAAAACATCGTCTTATATTCGGGTCAATACGGTATGTTTTAGACGCCATATTTCCTGTTTGTGCACTATTTCGACAACAAAAATAATTCCAAACAAAGCCACAGCACTGTTTTGCGTCTCTGAGCAACATGATGGTGTTTCGTTCCCGAATGAATCAAACATTTAAATGATTCATTTCAATCGCAATGACTCACTTATTAACAGTGACCCACTGCCACCTACTGGCTAAGTTCACTGTGTATCTTAGTAATAAATATAAGTTATTACAGTGATGATACATTACTTAAATATTACATATATGTATGTAATAAAATGTGTGCTTCAATTACAGGTTTAGGTCTTAAATTTCATTTAAGGTGGTATTAAAAAGGTCTTAAAAAGTCTTAAATTGAACTTGTTCATGTCTGTAGAAACCCTGTTAAAGCGTTTGCAAAGTTTTGTTTCCTAACAAAAAAACAATGCTTTTTTTTAACTGTCCCAAATGTGTTAAAATTGCAAAGTTGGATTTCCTTGAGTTTGAAATCTGTTTTTCCCCGGCAGTGCTGCCGTACTTCACCAAAATGCCGATGGACCTGACGATCCGCGCCGGAGCCACCGCGCGACTGGAGTGCGCCGCTAGCGGACACCCGTCTCCTCAGATCGCCTGGCAGAAGGACGGAGGCACGGATTTCCCCGCGGCCCGCGAGCGGCGGATGCACGTCATGCCGAGAGACGACGTGTTCTTCATCGTGGACGTGAAGACGGAGGACGTCGGCGTTTACAGCTGCACTGCGCAAAACACCGCCGGCGCCGTCTCTGCTAACGCTACGCTAACGGTGCTGGGTGAGAGGATGCATGTGTTTGGCAGAAATGCGTTTATTCTAAAACAGTGACATTACTAATGATGCACCAAAATAATTGTATTACGAAACCAAAATTAAAGACTTAATTTAGCTGAAAACTAAAGTATATAAAGAAAGAGAGACTGTATTGTAAATAATAAAAATATATATAATTAATTGATCACATTTAATGCATTTAAATGGCATAAAGGCAGTTTTTCTAGAAACTTTTTAATTCATTTCTGGAATATAATTATTTTAATAGATATATTTAAATAATTAGAAAAACGTTACGCCACTTTTTCTATCAACATTTTAATTACTTCATTGTTTAAATGTAATAATTGTATTTATATTATATATATGTCCATGCAAGTATAATCAAACATACATTAAACAATAAAGACATCACTAACAGGTAATGTAAAATCTAATGAAGATGTAATATAACTTACTAGCACTGGCTGTATTTAATGTTTAAAGTTTGTTTTATATATTTTTGTATTTCCCTCCTAAACGTCTGCTGTGTCTTCTAATGCATGCATAAAATATTTTGATATTTTTTGTGTATTATATAAAATTTTTATTATTATATAGTGATCTGTCACACCACATTAAAGAGCATCAAAACCACATATGTGTCCCTGCAGCACAAAAGCAGTGTTGAGTCGCTGGGGGATATTTGTAGCAATAGCCAACAATACATTGTATGGGTCACAATTATACATTTCTCTTTTATGCCAAAAATCATTAGGATATTAAGTAAAGATCATGTTCCATGAAGATATTTTGTAAATCTCCTACCGTAAATATATCAAAACTTAATGTTTGATTAGTAATATGCATTGCTAAGAACTTCATTTGAACAACTTTAAAGATGATTTTCTCAATATTTAGATTTTTTTTGCACCCTCAGATTCCAGATTTTCAAATAGTTGTATCTCGACCAAATATTGTCCGATCCTAACAAACCGTACATCAATGGAAGCTTATTTATTCAGCTTTCATATGATGTATTAATCTCAATTTCGTAAAATTGACCCTTATGAGTGGTTTTGTGCTCCAGGGTCACATTTATTGTTTGAATTTTGTGAAAAGTGACAAAGCACAAAAATTACAGAGATTATTTGATGGGAGGCGCTACAAAAAATGTTTAGTGAAGCTTTATTCGTGCATCATCCTCAAACGAATGGATATTGTGAGAATTTCGGTTCTGGGTGAAATTTTTTTTTATTTTTTATTTTTATTTGAGCGCACCAGTGTGCACCTGAAGTGTCATGAAATAACGTCCCGTTGCTCGTGCAGAGACGCCGTCGTTCCTGCGTCCGCTGATGGACCGTACAGTGGTGAAGGGCGAGACGGCGGTGCTGCAGTGTATCGCGGGCGGCAGTCCTCCGCCTCGACTCAACTGGACCAAAGACGACAGTCCGCTGCAGGTGACGGAGCGACACTTCTTCGCTGCCGGGAACCAGCTGCTGATCATCGTGGACGCCGCGGACGCAGACGCAGGAACCTACACCTGCGAGATGTCCAACCCGCTGGGCACGGAGCGAGGGAACCTGCGTCTGACCGTCATGCCCAACCCAAACTGTGACCCGGGGCCGGCAGCCGGCGGGGCCCTGGGGCCGGAGGAGGACGGCTGGACTACAGTGGGCATCGTGATCATCGCTGTGGTGTGCTGCGTGGTGGGAACCTCGCTGGTGTGGGTCGTGATCATCTATCACACGCGCCGACGCAACGAGGACTGCAGCGTCACCAACACGGGTCAGTCCCGACCCGACATCGCACGCTTTTAATTAGGGCCCTATGATTTCCGTGATGCGGAAAAAAACGCGGACGGAATCGCGGAATCCAGTCATAAAAATGTCACGGAATTTGTCAAATTTTGAATGGATATAATCAAAAGTAGGTAATTACACTTAAATCAAATCGCGATATGGACTAGTATCTGTAAATATTAAGCCGCAAAAGACTATTTAAGTATGAATCCTGCATGTTCTGCGTGTCTCTGTTAATGAATGGCGCAGACGCGCGGTTTATTTACTACACTATTGTCTCACTAAATGAGGACGTAAACACATGAACAACATCTCCAGAGTCACTTCACGAGCATTTTAGCGTTTGATTTCAGTAAAACTAGCGTCATATCACACACACAGAACTGTAAAGGTATTCACGGCAACCCGTCAAAATAAAAGTCCGGTTTGATTTGAAGACTTTGTGCCTATTACTATTTTTTCTGTAAAAATGCACATAACCTACTGCTGCTAAAATGAAACAAACATTATTTTTTAAGGAATAATCACACAACATTTCTTCCATGTTTTAATTTTAATAGTAAATCCCCTTTGTTTGCCAAAAAATTAAGTTTGCTTAATTTTCAATAATTAAAAGACAAATTAAATTAATGTTTTATGCCTTCATTTGATAACCAGAAAAATGTAAATACACAACACAGAATTTCTGAGGAAAAAAAATTTAATGAGGCTACTTAATTAATAAATTGCATTCAGATAATTAGACATGCTAAAAAACAGAATTTGGTAACAATAAAAAATAAAACATTTCATAGGGCCCTAAACGTAATTTTTGTTAAAGTTTTAATAAATTGATGTGAAAATGTATAAGTTGCATGATTTTAATTAATTAGACATGCTTTCTGATTAATACAATTTAACTTAACCATTAAAAAGGAGTCGAGAAAAATTAAAACGGGAAAAAACGGAATCCGGAAAAATTTGGAAAAAAATAAAACTGAATTTAGGAAAAAATAAAACTGATTTCATAGGGCCCTTGATTTTAATGCATCGGTGACGTTTAACGCTGCTAACCCTGTGTCTCTCTCTCGTGTTTAGATGAGACGAATCTCCCGGCGGACATCCCGAGCTATCTGTCGTCTCAGGGAACGCTAGCGGAGCGTCAGGATGGATTCATGGCGTCTGAGAGCGGCAGCAGCCTTCAGTACATCAGCTCCTCCTCGGGAGGATTTTACATGCCACCCAAAGACCTCAGCAGTGAGACGGGACGCCCGCTGTCTTTAAATGCACAGAAATGCACTGTAAAAAATACAAATATGTGAAATTTATGGTTAAAAAAAAAGTTTTTTTACTGTTAGAAAATACGAAATACTGAAGTAGTGTTATCAAATTACTAAAATAAAGCAATAAGCCCCACGAAGCTGTGGTTTACAGTGAATTTATAACGGCTAAGGGGCGTTGTGGAGTGCCTAAAACCCCCTTAGCTGTTATAAATCCACTGTAAACCACGGCTTCACGGGGATTATTGCTTTTATAAAACGGTTATATACGTAGCAAGGTTTCACAAAATAAAACAGAGCAAATAAAGTGTAATGATATTAATAAACACAGTATTCTTCCACCAAACAATGTAGCGCCTCAGAAACAGTTGTGGTTGCTACAAAGTGGTTGCCAAGCAACACACAAACGTAAACAAAGGTGTGTGTTACTTTGTAGCATCATTCACAACAGCGGTGAACGCGGCTCAGCCAATCAGAATCAAGCACCGGAACTCTCCGCTTTATAATCAGTATTTTACCTTTATAATATACTGACGAGGCTTATTATAGTTTACTAAAACAAAAAAGGTCACTTGCTTAGAATATAAAATAAAAAAATAAAAATTGTATTTCAATATTTAAAAAAAATATTTAATTTCATCTAGTTGCCAAAGCAACGTTTCTGATTTTTTTTGCTTTATCTTGATGTACTAAAATAACTAAAACTAAAAATTTTATTTTTATAATAAAACTAAATATGTATAATAAACACAATTCCTCAAATTTTAAAATTAAATTGAAACACAAAAATAAAAACTCAAAATATAAATAAAAACTATAGACATATTTAAAAAAAAAACACAAAACAAAATGTCTAAAACGAACTAAAATAGAAATTAAAACGTAATTGAAAATATTAATAAATCTATAATAGCATCTCAGTCATACAAAACACTGATACTGACAACATAAAACAATATACATAACTAACAAGAAAAAACTAAGAATAAACAGTTACTGCCATGAAAAATCATTAACTGTAAATGTACTATTTTTCACTTTAAAGGTCCCGTATTGTCAAAACTGAAATTTCCTGGCTTTTTTCACGATAACTGAAGAAACATAGACATATGGTGCACATAACAACAAAAGGCAATACTTTATTGAACCTTTTCTGATAAGAAGTGTGCGCTGCAAACGCCAGCATTTTTGATGATCGTTTCTGTCCAGTCTGCTCGTTTTATCACGTTTAACCACAGCTGTCGTCGGTTTTTTGTCTGGCAGTGGCAGCAGATATGTGATCACATTTCTAATTTGAGGCTGTATTACGTGGATTCTGGCACCCAACATCACAACAAGATGATATTTTAAGCTCCTTATGTAGCTGGTTTGAATGGGCCGCCTCCAGCTAGCGCTGTGACGTCTGACCCTAGTTACCTGTGGTTGGCCTGGCCGTGCGTCACTCAGAACACAACAGGCCAATCAGAAGAGGGGCTCATGAATATTAATTAGACAGACCAAAATCCACCTGTTCTCAGCAGAGCTCCTGAGAGAGGAGCTGTACAAATATATTGAGATATATATATGTATATTCTTAAGGACATCAAAACCTAAAATAGAACTCCATAAAGGTGTAAATTATAGGACCTTTAAAGTTCACTTGTTCACTTCCAAAAAGTATTACAGGACAGCGTTTTACTCATTATATTTATTACAGATTTATTTTTCTTTGTATATATAGTCCATGTGCAATCAGATGTGTTTCTGGGAATGTCATTTTACAGTTTTTCGCTGTTTCGCATTATAAGATGACCTCCAAAAACGTTACATTCAACAGTTGGATTTATCGCCGTTTTTCAGCGTAAAGCTTTAATACGGTTGTAATACCGTCTCTCCTCCCGTAGGCCTCTTCCAGCTGGACACAAGAAGTGATGTGGACATGGAGGCGGCGATCGACCCCCTGCCGTGCCATTATCAGGGGCCTGTGGGTTCACTGCTGAGACGGAGCAACCGCTGCAGCCCTGATCTGCCCGACACGTACAGCGGTGAGTAGGGCTGTGCAATTAATCGAAATTCAGTTTCGATTTCGGCCTCCAACGTTTATGAAAATACAGTAATCGAGATAAAACGACTATTGCGCCCCATTGCGCTTTCGCTCCTACATAATCGTACGTAACGGGACGTGCTTGATTTATTTAAGTTGAGATCGAGTTATGCTTTTAAAAGCGTGAAAGAACTTGAGCTTCCTCGGGAGACGGAACACAACACAAACATGTAAAGTCATCTTTTTAGTGTCAAATACACACAAAAATGGCAAAATGCGGCGCTTCGTGATTATTCACGTAAACCCTCGTCGGTTATGTAATAAATTAATGTAAATAGTTAATAATGAAAATGCGCGTGTAACGATAAATGCGGCTCTTAAAGTGACAGCAGCCTAATATTCCTGCTGCCGACTGTGTGCTTCATATTAATCAAACAACAAAAGACGCTTTCAAAATCACTCGCTGCTCTTGAGTGAAGCTTTAATAAGAAACAAAGGAAGGTTAATTCTTACAGTGAAGACTATGCTGTTTTATTTTACATTAGGTTATTTAATTTCTCTAGTAGGCCGTTATGAATACCTTAGACTTGCATTAAAAAATCTTAAAGCACAGTTTGTTTCATTTTTTTTATTCTATTGTATTCTTTTGCTTTTTTAATGACTGGCGTTGTCCTTAAATCTTTCATATAAAGTTTTGGTCATATGGCCCACTAATAATCGTTTTAAATAACCGTGATTATGATTTTTGTCATCTTCGAGCAGCCCTAGCGTGCGTGTGTTAATCCTGACCTCTTCTTCTTCTCTCGTGCAGCGTGTGCGTCAGAGCAGCGGCCCGTCGGTGTCACTTCCTCCTGCAGCAGGAAGTGTGAGTTCTACACCTGCAGCTCCGCCCTCGAGCCCTTCGATCACATGATGATGCAGCTGGGGGACACTTCCCGCGTGGAGGACTGTGAGAGCGGAGAGTGTGTTCTGGGCTCCTCGGGGTCATATATGGGTGAGTCTGAGCAACAGGAAACATGTACAGTACGCATAAGAAGTGCTTTACATGCACATGACAATACAGTCTTTATTAAAAAATATTTTATTATATTAAAAATGTTAATGAATGTTTATTTTTAACTAGTGCTGTCAAATAATTAATAATCGCATCCAAAATAAGTTTTTTTTTTTTTTTACGTATGTATGTGTACTGTGTATATTTGTTATGTGTGTATATATATATATATATATATTAATAAACACATACAGTATATATATTTTTAAATATTTGCATGTATATACAATTATATATAAATATATTTAATATATAAACATAACATATATTTCTTAAATATATACATGCATGTGTTTGTATTTATATATACATAATAAATATACACAAACATATATTATGTAAACAAAAACTTTTATTTTGGATGCGATTAATCGTTGGACAGCACTATTTTTAACAAAGCTACAAAACCCCAAAAATATTTTTGTAATGTAAAATAAACAATACTTAAAATAAAACTAAATATTTATAATATTTAAAATTAAATTAAATTAAAAAAAAATTTTCATCAGGTTCATCAAGGCAGGATTTCTTATTTTTATTTAGTTGCAACTTGTTTTACTAAAATAAATAAAACTAAATTTAAAATTAATATAAAAATAAGAATAAAAATTACAAAAACACACAACTAAGTTACTGACATTTAAACTAAAATTAAAATATAAAAATAAAAACTAATTCAAAATATTAATGCAAAATTATAGTAACATATTTTTTCATCTAGTTGCCAAGGCAACATTTCTCATGTTTTTCTTTTTTGTTGTAACTTGTTTTATTAAAATAAATAAAACTAAAGCAAAAATAAAAAATTAATAAAAACTATATAGAAAAAAAGAATACAAATTACAAAAGAGACAACTAAGTTACTAAAAGTTGTTCAAATGCATTTTTAATCATAAATTAATTAATTTAAAAAATAAGTAATAATAGTTATAACAATAGTAGACTAGAAAAGAATGCCTTTTATTGTCATTCAATGAAATAATAATTAAAATTATTTATTAAATTAATTAATTATTTATTTATATTTATATTAATTTATAATTTTTTAAAAATAATTTACACAGGGACTTCAATGAAAAATACTTCTAAAGCATTTATTAATCTTAGTGTTCATTTCAACATTCACTTATGCATTGAATAAATCAATAGCTGCATCTGTTAATGTTATTTAATGGACCTGAGATCTGTGTCAGATGTATTGCTAATGTTAGTCAATGCATTAACTAAAGGGACCTTACTGTAAAGCTAGCAACATCAAGGTCATGGGTTCGATTCCCTGGAAGTGCATGAACTGATAACACTGATGTTGCGTTAATGTGAGCCTGCAGCACAAAAGCAGTGTTGAGTCGCTGGGGGATATTTGTAGCAATAGCCAACAATACATTGTATGAGTCACAATTATACATTTCTCTTTTATGCCAAAAATCATTAGGATATTAAGTAAAGGTCATGTTCCATGAAGATATTCCTACTGTAAATATATCAAAGCTTAATGTTTGATTAGTAATATGCATTGCTAAGAGCTTCATTTGGACAACTTTAAAGATGATTTTCTCAATATTTAGATTTTTTTGCACCCTCAGATTCCAGATTTTCAAATAGTTGCATCTCAGCCAAATATTGTCCGATTCTAACAAAAACCATACATCAATGGAAATCATATTCATTCAGCTTTCAGATGATGCATAAATCTCAATTTCTAAAAATCAACCCTTATGACTGCTTTTGTGCTCCAGGGTCACAAATGCGATGTAAATGACGGCGTGTGCCTGTGGTCTCAGGTACGTTTGGGAAAGCGCCGTGGCGGCCGCAGCAGGAGCTCTGCGCTCATAACGCCGTCATTCTTCAGGAGAATCCGTACGCAGCGCTTCACGCCGACTCAGACCTGGACGAGGAGCACGCGAGCGTTTACGAGCAGCCGTTCGATCTCAGGACGATAGAGCGCTTTCCCACGTCTCCGCTGGGCTCTTAGCGCCGCCGCCAAAAACCCAGAAACGCTCTACCTCAAGAAAGGAGCTACGACTGAATGTAAATGACACGTTTGTACAGAAAAACAGATTATATGCATTTTATACGAAATTATATTTTGTAAATCAATAGTGTAAATATGACCCTTATTTTTCCTACTCTTTTCCTGTAAATGTACGCAGATATACTAGTTAACCGTGGGTTGTTTAATCCAGATCTGTTTATGATTATTCCGCTTTGGCTTTTGCTTTGAATAAAGCACAGTTTGCACAAACTAGTACACAATAAACATTCCCGTGAGCTGCTACACGCACGAGCGCTAGTGTCATGTTTATGAGCTTGTTCATGCTTCATTATTGATTGTGTCGATGTGCTTTTATTCTTCACGAGAACAGAAATGCAGCACTGCATCAGTGTCGCAGTGAATGGGTGCCGTCAGAATGAGAGCTGATAAAAACACCACAAGTAATCCACAGCACTCCAGTCCATCAGTTAACATCTGGAGAAGACAAAAGCTGAAACACATCCAGCATTAAGATGCTTTTCAATCAGTTGAGACATCGCATCGAAATCTCGACAAGACAAGTTTTTAAGTCGGCAATTTCTTTGCTCTAGCTCACACAAGGTCATGGGTTCGATTCCCAGGAAATGCATTCGATTAAATTGATTATACCTTAACTCATGCAATGAAAACGGCATTAGATAAACACTTCTACAATACAATACAATACAAACTTTATTTCTATAGCACATTTAAAACAACTGCCGTTGACCAAAGTGCTTTCTAGCAACATTACATACAGTCACACAATCAAGATTCAACATTAAAATATAAAACCTGGTCCCTCTAGGTTCCAGCTTTCGCTTCTACCAAATGCATACATGCAAAAACAGGATGGGATTTGATTTCATCCGTGATGAATTGCATAAATTAATTGGATAAATGATTAGATTTCATTTACTGCTTTTTTTTTTTTGTATCGATGAGATGCTATTATAGTTTCTATTAATATGTAGAATCAGTTTTTATATTTTCATTTTTTTTTAGATGTCTATAAAAATGTTATATTTCAGTTAATGTTTATTTTATTTTAATTCAGTTGTTTATTTTTATTTCAGTGGTAGTTAACTATAATAGCTCTTCACAATAAGAACAGGCCGATGAGTTAAAGTAAATGGAGTGCATTTTAGTTGCTGCACATTGCCGTGTATTTTCATGCAGCAGGTATTTAAACCCGTTAAACACGAAAGTAGCGTGTTGATCAAAGCGTCTCGAGCCGAGAAGCGTTTCGTTTCAACCGCCGCCAACAAAGAGTTCCTGGCAAAAAAATGCAAGAATTCCAATTGGAATTCCAAAATAATTCCCCGCTGTGATTTTGGCTCCAATGAAAACTAGACCGGAAATCATCTATTTCTCAGACCACTGAACGTGACCCGGCGCTGGAGCGGCTGACCTCGGATCAGATCGAAGGTCCAGAGTTTACCTCCCGTCCTGTGACTAAGCAGAGCAAATGCATTTCACATGCCTGTCTCTCATCTCGCTGCCAGACACTGAATTTCAGAGCCGATTGGTCCTCATTGCTGCCAGATGTTGCAGCATGGACGCAGATGTTGAGATAATCGATGTAGCTCTCATTAACCCATCGTTAGAGGAAAAGAGCGTCTTTCTGCCGAGTTCTGCTCTGATTCTGAACATTTAGGATCTGATTCTGTCAGAGGATGCTTTCTTACGGATGCAAATCACACTGAAAATCTTCATCCACTCTTTAGACGATTTAAAACAGATGTTCTTTATGGTACAGATGTTGCTGTACATCTGTCGGCGCAGGTGGGAATGTGAGAGTTTCTGGGAAGATCGGCCTGTCCGTGTCTATAACAGCAGAAGAAAGGGCTGGGAAGCCAGGATAAAAAACGTAATTATACCAAACCTGTGCGCAGTGAGAAAAATCAACTTCTCCATCAAGGAAAACTGAGCTAAATGGATTTCCAGGGCGTTTTTACCTTTATATGGCCGACTTTTCTAACAGTTTTAAATGTAAATACTTATATTTATTCAGTAAATGCAATTATAATAAGACATTATAGGGCTGTTAGCAATTAAATTAAATCTTAAATGGCAAATTACAGCTCAAGAGATGTCATGAATGTGCTTACACTGCAGTTACACCTGGATAGTATTATTAATGCTTTCAATATAAAATATATTTAATGTACAAATATGGAATTTAATTATAGGCCTACTTTAAATATGAAAATAAAACCACCAGTAGGTGGCGGCAAGTCGCTGTCTTAATGAGTGAGTCACTGATTCATTTATTCAACCGATTCATTACAAATGGCTGATTCATTCAGGAACGAAGCAAGTCACTGTGTTTTTGAATGAGTTGTTGAATCATCAACTCACCTGATTCATTTTAAAATGCTGAAGCATTCAGGAACAAAGCAAGTCACTACTGTCTTTATGAAGGGGTTGATGAATCATTGACTCACTCGATTTGTTCAAAAATGTTGAATCATTTACGAACGAAGCAAGTCACTACTGTTTTTATGAATGGGTCATTGAATCATCAATTCACCTGATTCATTTTAAAATGCTGAAGCATTCAGGAACGAAGCAAGTGAGTCACTGAATCATTGACTCACTCGGTTTGTTCAAAAACATTGAATCATTTACGAACGAAGCAAGTAACTACTGTCTTTATGAATGGGTCATTGAATTGTTGACTCACTCAATTCATCCAAAAAACAGAATCATTCAGAAACAAAGCAAGTCCCTGTGTCCAAAATTGCCCCCTATACCCTTAAATAGGGCACTGTTTGAGGGGGCAGCCTTTCATCTTACTACTGGAGCTGCCAGCTTCAAACAATATAAAAGCGGCAGTCCTTCTGGTGCACTCAGTGTCCGAATTCACTCACTCGTTTTCATTCACTCCTTCAAGTGAACTGTATTAGTGCCCTAGTGTAGGGAATAGTGAATGAGGGTATAGAGGGCGATTTCGGATTCTTAATGAATGATTCACTGAATCATTGACTCACTCGATTTGTTCAAAACGCTGAATCATTCAGGAATGGAACACGGCTGCTGTTTGTAACTATTTTTGTTGATGGGAAAAGAACAAAAACAGTCAATATTGACAACATAGACTATTGTTAATTAATAATTATTTAATTATACACCATTGGATAAAGTATAAAACAGTGATGGATTTTAAGAGGAGGACAAATGACTCTTAACTTGAACGCTCAGTGCTGGAGCTATGATCAGATAGGAATAGTTTAACACTAATAACGACACACGAGCTGAGGATCCAGTGTAAATGTTTGAGTGTGTCTGTGTTTAGACTGTGTGCAGTGAGACGAGAGCGTTTCGTTTCCAGGTGCTTTCCGCTCCTCGAGCTGCGACGTCTTCACATTCCTTCACTGCATGTGCAGAAAGATGGAGAGAAAGAGAGAGAGAGACGGGCATTCGCAGTAGTGTGGGTCTTCTGCAGCACTGGAGGCACCAAACGCAATGTTTGTTTTCAAATGGAGCGCATGAACACGCCCCCTGTCTGCCATTGGTCAGACCTCCTTATAGCTCCGCCCCCATTATTTAAAGGTTACAAATACGTTTCTTAGAGCGTTCATCAAATAAAGGATGTTTCGAGAATGTTGATCTCAGAACGGCTTCTCGAGAACGTATTTCAAAAACGAATAACGTTATAAGAACGTTTCAAATCTAGGTTATTAAAACACGGAGACGATGTTTCTAAAAGTGTCCCGTTCTCTTGATTCGAATGTTATTTAAGCGTTTCTTACGATGTTCCGATACTTCTTTTGTACCAAAAATAAACGTTTATTTTTAATATTCTAAGAACAGTTCAAATGTATCGGTTTCTTGTCTTGATTAGAACGTTATGTAAAGGTTACAAATAACATCATAAGGACGTTTTGAGAATGTTGATCTAAGAAGCTATTCTCTCAACGTTTTGAGAATGTATATCAAATGTTAGTAAAGTTATAAGTACGTTTTTTTCGTTACGTTTATATGAAGCTTGAACTTTTAAAGCACGTCTCTGTTAACTGATATAAAGCCATGCACACTGACTAAATCAGATCTGAAGTATCGGTCAGAGATTCATCGTATATGAGCGCTGAAACCGTCAGGTGTGGTCGTGCAGATCATGTTTGCATGAACACATAACACTTTCCCTCTGCAGATCGTACAGTGATTTTATCCCAGATTCGCGGCCCACCCAGAAGAGTCGCTCAAGCCGTTTTTATGCGCTCACAGACGTTCCTCTGTTGGTTTATCGGAGCTCGGCCAACTTGCATACACTGTCACACGCCGCACTCTCGTCCCGCTTCCAAGCCAAATCAGCACCGTCCAAGAAGAAATAAGAGTCAATATGCAGCTGATCTGAGTTGCCATCGCACTGGCTCTCATAACAAAGCTCTCCTGATGTTTTCCAGACGAGGCTCCATCATCTCAGATTCAGATGATGCCAGCGAGAGCTCCAGAAACACAATAGTTCAGCAGAGACGAGCGTTCTGTCATCGTTTACTCACTCGGAGACGTTCAGCAGAATGTCCAAGCTGCTCTTTTACATACAGCGAAAGCTGATTATGATTTATACTCATTCTTTAAAAGAAATCAGTAAAGTATCATAACAGTAGTCCATATTCCAAAAAACATATTATCTGCTAATCTAGTTTTATGGACTGGTTGTTATGTTACTTTAGTGAATTTATGATGTTTTTATTAATCTTATGATAGTTTTTATTGTTATTTTTAATTTATATTTTGATATGATACTTTTGATATTTTTTATGATACTGCAATGATTTCATATTACTTTAATAATATGTTTATATATTTGTTACTTGTGATATTTTTCTATTTTTACAAAACTTTTCATTGTTTTTCATGGTACTTTTATTGTTTTTTATTGTGGTATTTTAAATTATATATTTATTTTTATGATAATTATGATATTTTCATGTTATAAGTTTTTGATACTTCTGATAATTTGTATATTTTTTATATTTTTATGATGCTTTTATATGTTATGACATTTGATAATTTTATTATTCTTATTTTATATTTTTATAATTGATTTTTTATTTTTTCCCTTTGATGTTTATATTTTTGTTTTTATTATTATTTTTTGTAATATTTTTGATGCTTTCATTATATTTTTTATTTACTTTTTTGTCTTATGGAGCTTGACACTCCCTTTCATTACACACAAATCAGCAGTGATTGTTACCAAACCTGCTGTTCTGAGCACAGGTGGACGATTCACTCTCTAACAGCACTAAACTTCCTTTCACA